GATTCATTATTCAGACTAATCAGGGACTAGCTGTGGTACTTTTAACTATTAACTGCAGTAAATGAGCCAAATTAAAAAACAACAATAACAACTACTAATTGGTCTTGAATCTGGATTGCAGTTGTATTTACATAGTACAGAAAAAAAGAAATAGGCTCAGGGTGGTTATTTTGTGTATGAACAAATGCTAATGTCTGAAAGATCTGCACTTCAAAGATGTGAATGATCTTTCATTCACTTTCCTTATAAGTCCCTGTGGACCCTGTGCTAAAAATAACTTAAGAGTGCACACCCAGGAACTTATGATATGACTCCATAGTAAAATAGCATGTCTATGTGAATTTTATTTTTAATAGTTTTTGGTGAGGTAAAATGAGAGTGCCATGTACCATCAAGATGAGTTTTCCTACATCTTGAGCATACATGCCATCTTGAATGTTGATACGATAGATGTTATTAGAAAATACAGTACTGAATTTTGAGAAAAGACAGTATAGTAGAAATGATGGCTTGTTTGCATGAGCTTTTCACCACTCAAAGTCTTACCCCATCATGTCATTAATAACTGAGATCTAAATATTACTCTATGTAATGTGATTAAGATGAAATCTGTATTAGTAAGTCAAGATGCTTTACATTTCTGTCTTCACTACTATCCCAGAAAGCTGGCTAACTGGTGGAAATTTAATGTAACCAACTCACTATAAGTCAAATTATGTAGCAAATTTCAAGAAGGTGCCCAGATCATTTTGTTCTATTGAATATTGCTGAAATGGACCATCTACTGGGTCTTGGAAATGTTTTCATTATGGTGAAATTTTTATAATAATGTGAGAGCAGATCTACATTCATATTTTTAAAGAGAGTATTTGACATTTTCATTTTTCAAATATTTAGGGCAGAAACAGCTAGTCCAAATGTTTGGGGTCTTTTTTTCCCCTCTCAGTCTCTTTTTCTCTTTAATGTAACTATAAACTATTTCCTTAGTATTAATTTTTTCTTGATGAAATGCTTTGGTGCAGAGACACCAGCAAAATGGCACTTTCAAGAGTTTTCAGGTCTCCCTGTTGACCTTTCTGGGCAAAGTAGCAAAAGCTCAATTTTCTCCTCAAACTTTTCCCTCACTAAGTAAGGGGTAAGGTTCTATAGAAACAATTGGCTGGTAGTAATAATACAAGAAATCTAGTTATATTGAATGTTAGTAGCAAAGATCACATATATGGAGCAACTAGATGATTCTCAGTTCAGAGGTTATGAAGATGGAATCGTTTTTTAGAGTATGCATTATAAAATCCTCTATAATTCCTATAGGAAATTTGTGTGTATACATATACATGTATATGTATGTACCCACACATATATACATATATTATATATATATATATTAATTAATAATCTTGAAAAATCTGTAAGCAGCGAGCTGTAGCTAAAGATTGAAAATGAACCTTTCATTTCCTTTATTAAAAGAGTGTAACTAACAATGATGTAATGAAATGCAAACCATAAGTCCTTTAATGCTATGGGTAAGTTAGATTTTGTATAAAATATCTATATTCCATAGAATTCTTAAGGTAGCTTCCTGAAAGAAAATATTGCCATGGCTGACATGTTTAATTTGTATAAGGTCTATCACTTCTAGGTCATATTAGAATACTAGAGTCCTAGAAAACCACTGAAATTGATTTTCTCTCTCATATAGGCAATTCTTGATCATAAATCTATGGAAATCTCTGGCAAATTTGTAATCCCAACATGGCTTCCTCATGGACCTTAACATGTTTCTTAGTCACTTCTTTCAATGTGTGCTCAACATACATTCATTCATCTCAATAAAATAAAATTGGGGTTCCAGAATGCTGGAAAAAAAACCAAAACAACTCCACAGCCAAATGGAAGAAATTGTTGGTCTTTCCGTTGTTTTTGTTGTTGTTGTTACGTATGCTACAATTCCCTTCTACTGGCACAGATAACTGAAAGTTGACTATGAAATTTTAAAATAACAAATAAGTATTATCTGATTCCAGTGTAACATACAAAGCCTAAATAGATTTCAAAATAAAATACCTTTTGGGGGCATGTGATGCTTTTTAAAACTTTTTTATCGTATAGGGCTACTTTGAAAATTTTACATTACCTCTATCCATATGTAAAAGATCTGTGATTTCATGAGAGTAGGTTAATGCTGTGTATGTGTGAAGTCCTTTCACTGAAGCAAGCTGCAGCACTTCTGTGACTTAGTGCTAAATCTTTGTCTGAAGCAATGAGAGTCTGCAAGTAAATAATGGTGCTTGAACTCAGGTCTTCCTGACTCAGATGGAAAGAAGTAGGTGGTACAGTGGATAGAAAGCTGGGCCTGGAGTCAGAATGACATGAGTTCAAATCTGGCCTCTGACACTTACTAGCTGTGGGACCCTAGGCAAGTCACTTAGCTTCTGCCTCAGTTTGCTCAACTGTAAAAAGGTAACAGTGATAGCACCTGCTTCCTAGGGTTGTTGTGGATCAAAGGAGATAATATTTGTGAAGTTCTTAGCACAGTATCTGGCACACAGTAAGTGCTTAATAAATGCTTGTTTCATTTTCTTTTTCATTTCAAGTCCAGCATTCTGTGACTGGCCTACCTGTATCTGAGGAATCTGGGTATACCCTCTCATGATGTAAGAGGATTACCTTCTATCAGCTCTGCTAAGAAAGGAAAGGATTCAGGAAAGAGGACGAGGTAGCGTTCCCTTATCTGTAAGACAGTAATCAAGACAGCGAATCGAACCTAAAATGAAGAAAAAGCTGGAGTTACACACACACACACACACACACACACACACACACACACACCCCCCCAGATGTTCCTCTAGCTGTAGAGAACACTTTGATTGTTCTCAGCTTCCTCAGTACTTCTAAACTTGGGAATTTCGTGATACTTACAAGTAGTAGGCTGTGCATTTTGGATTATCTGTCCATTTTATTCAGGACAACACAGTATCTTGAGGAAAGCAGAAATCATAAACCACTGTCAAAAATAGAAGTAGGAACACTGCCCTGCCTGTCTCAGGGGGTGGCTGTGAGATTAAAGGGACAGGGCTTAGTACAGTACCTGGCAAATAGTAGGAGCTTAACAAATGTTTATTGACTCACTAAGTAATAGTCCATGCTTATATTTTACTGAATACACATGCCTTATACCACACTGTAAAAGGGATATACAAGATAGTTACAAAAATAAGGCTAAATACTAAAAATTCCCTGGACCCTAATACTTTAATCTTGACAAGGCATTTAAAGGCAGCTAAGTGGAGCAATGGATAGAGTGCTACACTTGAAGTCAGGAAGACCTGAGTTCAAGTCCTACACAATCTAATAACTGTGTCAAGTGACCTGGCCAAGTCACTTAATTTCTGAGCCACAGTTGTATTATCTGTAAAATGGGATAATAACTTCCACCCAACAGGATTGTTGTGAGGGGCACAAGAGATTATTACTGAGCCCTTTACAAAGTGTATCTGTCTACGTGCCTTACCAACTCCACATTAGGTTGTAAACTCTGATGGCAGAGAAGTTGGGGTTTTTCAATTTTGTGTCCCCAGCACTTAGCTGTAGTACCTGAAACATACTAAATGTGTAGCAATTGTTTATTGAATTTCCCAAGCAGACAGGTTTCTTCTATTTGAAATTTTTGCTAAATTCAATTGTTTAAAAAGTTCAGTTTTGCTCAATTTAATTGTTCAAAAAGAAGAATCATAAGACACTGACACTCTCTTCCTTTGCCTTCTCAAATTTCTCGAATTACTCTTCCATTGTTTCTTTTCTGTCTTCATGACTTTTCCTCCTGACCCCTCAACATATGGTGTGCTCAAGTCTAAGGCTTTTGCCTACATCTCTTTAATAATTCCATTAGTAGGCCCTCTATCTTTTTAAAGCTTGCAATCTCCCTTCGTGCTTTCCTTAGTAGATAGCCTTTATGAGTTTCCATGGTGAAAAAGAATGATCACTTATTGGCCAATTTTCTACCATTAGCTAGGCTGGTTTTTGTATGAGAGCCACCATATTCAAAGTCGTTTTAGACTGGCTTTAAACTCACCTTGCATGTCACTGACATAGCCTTTGAGAAGCCTGGGCCACCTTTATGCCAAGATGAAGCACTCTCATGATATCATTGTTTCTCCTCAAGAGTGAAGAACGAACAAGAAGAAGAAGCATCAGAGTAGGATTTTAGCAGGAGAAAGCTCCTATCATAAATTTGAAAGTTGGCCTGTTTCACAAATCAGTCTCTTGAATTTGGTTAGCATTAAATCAGTCTAACCAGAACCTGTCCACCTCTGGTTTAGCTCGAGCCTGCAGCTTGTTTTTGTATGGCTTGACAGTCATACATTTCTCAAAATGTAAAAAACTTCTTAGCTCATGGACCATACAAAACAGACATTAGACTGGATTTGGCTCTCAGATGATAGTTTTCTTCTCGACTAAACTAATAAAATCCAGTTCTTGAGACACTGAAGACTGAAGAACACACATCCTTAACATGGTTCTGCCACTCTCTGAGTCCTACTTTGTATGTGCATCTGGGCTCTCTTAACCATTTTGATTATAGCAATAGTGTTCTAAAATGTATATTTATTTTGTCAATATAGGTTCAAGATATTCTTATCAACCCTTCTGATCATGTAGCAAAAACCTGCAGCAGGATCTACCTACCATATATCAGTTCTTATCTGTCACTTTTCACAATTGTCTTCAATGGCTTCATCATTCTGACATTTAAGAATCACAGACAAGACATTCAGTGACATGACAATAATTGCTTGAGG